ACACACACACACACACACACACACACACACACACACACACACACACACACACATATTCAGAGATGCAGGCGGCGACCACACTGTTCATCACAGCTACCACTAACCATGACAGAAATAAATAAACGACACACAAACACCATGTAAACATGTTTTAAAGATGCTTAATTTGTACTACATGCAGTCTGCTACATTTTCCCCTCATATTACATTTAGTCTAGCTTCCCCATTAAAACCTCTTCCACAAAAGTATACATTTATTTGTTTAACACCAAACCACAGTTTCCATCCAAGCTTAGAGTGATTTTTGCTAATTGAGCTGCACAAAAAATGATGGTTATCATGACATCAGTGTATGCTACTGCACACCAGCATCAGATGACTATTAAAATTGAAATAAATCACAAATTATTACATATTAAAAGTGTCAAGTATTTATGCTTTGCCTGCCACTGTAATATTTGGCCAATCAGATGAAGCCTCGCTGCCTGAGCGGCTCACATTTGGTTTAAAAGACACTAAAACACAGAGATTGAGTGTTACAGAAGAGAAAAGGTGAAGAAAATGTAGGTTTATCACAACCGATGATGTCATCACAATGTTTAACTATCTGACAGATGCAGGTTTTTCTAATACCCTTCACTTCTGATAGCTGAACCTGTTTCAGTGTAACTGACTGACAACATGATAAACAGTGAAATAGCCACATCTGCTTCCAGGAAAATGCATTTGAATCTTGCAGCCGTCAGCTCCTTTTCACAAAACAACTCACGAACCACAAAGTACATTTTATTGAAACGTCCAGAAAGTAWTCACTGGATGAACATCCACAASTGATTACCTTGTGGAGTCAATTCGATTCAAGATAATCACTTCCACTAATCAACATTTGCTCCTACAAAACTAGCTATAACTAAACCAATTTCACTAATGCTGAGCTAAAATTAGGTGGTCCTGCTTTATCTCCAGCACATACTTTTAGCACTGCTTAGTGAACAATATATTGACCTAAAACATAGTATTATATGTTGAAATCAACCATGTCTGTTAGCAAAATATTCACAACCAGGACAAACTGTAATGAAACTCAGAGAGTAATTATTGAATGCAAATCTAAAACTCATYAACATTTTATATCAGCCCTATCCAAGCTGGCTGCCTCAGCTTGGCAGTCTTAGCCAACAGAAAAATGTCTGTAACTCAGTAAAATTTAGACACTGAGATAGTATGTAACGTGTTAGCAGAGAGTCATCCTCAAAACATATTCTAAGCACTGTCACATCTTGTGAAATCCTTTAATTAAGCATAATGTGCCTTTAGAAGGGACAAGCACACCATTCCCTCTTGGCACAAGATGATTTTATTTTGAACCTCTAGCATGAGAGATGGCAGGTGATACGCATTCCWTCGATGAATGTCAGGCCTTTAATTCTTTCAAACAACTGAGTCAGAGGCTGACAAAGACAAACCTTTATTGTGTTAAGCGCTCATATTTATGACCCACCAACAAATAAACGCTTTCACTCAGTCAAACTGAAGCCACTTGTTTGTCTGCTGAGTGCGTTCCAACCAGCCTACTGTTCAACTGTAAAGCAGCCTACTGCTGCAGCCCTGCAGCCACAGCCTGATGAATGTGAGTTTAATAAACATGCATGCTGTCTCTGTCTGCTAAGCCGTATGAAGACATCATATTTATTAATAGCTCCTTTTTTTTTTCAAATATGACACTCAACTCCTGG